CATTTTTCCCGGGACGATTTGGAAATTCCAAAAGAACGATGAATGATCCGCCGTGAGAGCTTCAAAGACATCTCGTTCGGCAGGGAGAGAGGGAGAGAGATCTCCGGTGGGTCTCGAAATAATTAATAAATATATAAATAAATAAATAAATAAATGAATAAAAGTTTACAGATTTTATATAGGAGTAGTCGATATAAAGGAGAGAATTACAGTGACGCAATGGATGATAAGGTGACGGGCCTGTCACGGTCGGTCAACGACAGACGAATCGGACAGGCAGTTATTTGCTGGGTCAAAAAGAAGGTGGCGTGGAGGAGCAGGAGAGGTTCTCCTACATTTATTAGCTTTTTTTTTGACTAATTGACGACGTCGTTTACGTGTAGGATTTATTTATTAATTAAGTCTAAGGTTGCAAACGAGTCGAGCAGCTCGCGAGTTGCTCACGAACGCTCGAGTCAAAGCGCGACTCGAGCTCGAGATCATATTTTCCATTATCGAGCGGCTCGCGAACGGCTCGATATATATATGAAATTACTAAAATATTTCTTGTATATATATGTATATAATGGTATTTTACTAAATTGTTTGAAAAAATTCGAATCGAACTCGAGCCGAGTTCGAGTATTTTGAACTCGAGCAGCTACAGAAAAAATTCAATCCCGCTCGATAAGACCAATGCTCGACTCGACTCGGCTCGACTCGTTTGCAGCCCTAATCAAGTCCATAAACATATTTGAATAGAAGTTTTAATAAATATTTGAAATTTAAATAATTTTTCAAAATATATATATATATATATATTCATTCAGCGCATATAATTAATATAAAGTTGATTAAAACAAATATGTTTATAATAGAGATAGAGGTATTGCAAATAAGTGACCTATATTAGTATAATCTGTACAACAATATGTGTTTAATATAATTTTGTAAACTAAACGAGTCAGCGGAACTCAAACTTGAGCTCTTGATTAAGCACAGGCTTCCATCAACTCGGCTCGTTAAGTTATCGAGCTCGACTAATCAGCGTATGGCAAAAGATTTAAAAATTATGTAAATATCTCTATATACCATGTCTAATGAATTGAGTATGACTCATCGACTATACAAGCTTTAAACAAGCTCGAGCTGATCATCGTGTCAAAAGAAATCAAACTCGACTCGCTAGTTATACAGGATTTAATCGAGGTTTGAGCAGATCAATTAGTCGAACTGAGTTGAACTCACGAAACAGCTTATTTTACATGAATAGTTCAAGTTTCACCTTTCTTTAAACTATATTAATTATATTTAAATTATGTCTTGGAAGAAAATGTTGGGAATTCCAACCACACCGAAACTCTGCCCAAGATCCTCTGAAAATAAAAAACTGGAGAACACAAAATTTTAACGTGGAAAACCCTCTGTTAACGAAGAGGAAAAAACCACCAGGGCAACAAGACCGTAGAAAATCCACTATGTAAAAAAAAAATTACACAATTTTTCTACCACTCACTTACCCAAAATTACCCCACAGAATTTTGTACTTGTTAACCCTAACTCTCACCCTAAGGAATTTTTACCCTAAGGAATTTTGTTTTTTTTACCAGAGATTAATTGTTAACACAATAACTCTGTGGGATGATTTTACATAAGAAGTAGCACTTTCTTATATAGAAGAAAAATCTCCCTCTCTTTCATTCCACAATCGATGTGGGACAAAGAGCAAAACTCAACAAACTCCACCTTGCGATTTTGGCCCATCTCACAGCCACTATTCACTTTGATGAAATTTTTCATAGCTTTCGCCATCATGCTCCACCATAAAAGCATATCCACTCGGACTCGCATCCAAGCATTTCTTCGGCCCATGTCGAA